CGGTGCGCCACAAGCGCTGCAAGTGCGCCCCCTCTCACGGTGCCCCTTGGGTCGGCGACTCTTGGGGCCCTTGGGGCCAGGAAGGGCACATCGGCGTCGCGACTGCCGCATCGTCGGGGGTGATAGCGGGGCCTACGGAGCCCTAGGCCTAGGCCGTAGCTGGGAGGTTTGTGTTCGGGGTCATCCGAATGCTCCTCCCAACTGCGCTGACTTGAGCCTGGCGGCGGTGGCGAGGGGAGACCCGGAGGAGGAGCGATCGGGCGTCCAAGGGCGACGGGGGCGGATCTGTCCTCGATCGCGTCGGGGCCCCCCCAATCGCAGTGCACGTCGCTATCGGGGGTGCTTCCGCTGGGCTCGCGAGCCTCAAGGATCCACTCCCAGTCAGCCTCGTCCTGGGGCTGCCGTCCGCCTTCCGTCCCGATCCCGATCGGGTAGAAGGGGGGGCGTGGGGGCGATCTCATGGTCGTCACCAAGAGCGTCTGCCTCGCCAGCACCTGCCGGGGGCGGGGAGGTCAGGTGGGAGGCAGGAGTGGAGTGGGGCGGGGGGAAGGAAGGGGCGGGCGACGATCCCCCCATGCTGGTGCTACTCGGGCCCAGCACACCCCTGGGGTGGGCGCTCTCGCAAGCCCCGAGGACTCTCTGAGCGCCCACCCTGGGAGTTGGCGTGGACTGACCTTGGCCAGGGCCGCCCGTTGGGTCGCGGCCAACAGCCGCAGCCGTCTGCATCTCGTGGTGATGGGGGGTGCAGCCAACAGCAGCAGTGTTCACATTTCCATCAGGAGGAGGAGGAGGAGGAGGAGGAGGAGGAGGAGGAGGAGGAGGAGGATTGGAGGCGCAGCCAACAGCCGCATTCACATTTGCATTGACAGAGGAGGAGGGAGGTGCAGCCAACAGCCGCTATGTCACATGTGTGAGGTCGGTACTTCCCTCGTCATCTGGCGGTCTTTCGGGGGAGAGACCCGCCACTGCGTGGGGCGGTACAGTCGCCTGTCCCCATGGTGGGTGGACAGCGCAATCCGCTTCTGTGGGCCGTATAGCCTCGTCATGGCCCACGCTCGGGTTCCCATCCACTACCGCCTCTCGATTCCCCCCTGGGGCGTCGTCCTCAGCCTCTTGGAGTTGGATGGCACCCGCCACTGGTGTCTCGGACTCCTGGGCAGTCCCACGGCGGGGGGAGGAGGGAGGCGTGGGCGGGACGGGGATCGAAATGGGGCCCAGGGTGGGTTCTGAGCCGAGGGCAGGACCTGCGCCGCGAGCGGATCAATTGCAGCTATGGCGGGCGCGCGCGGGGGGCCCGAGGGAGCCCAGGGCCGCGGGCCCGCGGTGCGGCGTACGGGCGCCCCCTTGAGCCAAGGCTTGAGCCAGGCTACGGGTGGTGAGTGAAAATACGCGAAGCGTTTAGAATTGCAACAGCTTCGCGGATAGAGGGCAGGCCGTTCTGAGAATGTGGCTCTCGCCCTGGCGCAGCGCACAATCGTATTGAAAGGCCGGCAGCAATTCAAGAATGGAGGGCGAGCGGTATTCACAAAATTGTTCTCGCCTTAGTGCCGCGACGAACACTCGTTTAAAACATAGCAGTTCAAATATGGAGGACAGGCCGTTTAAACAAAAATGGCTGTCGCCTGAGCGTCGCGCCCATTCGCCTTGCAAGGTTCCAACCGTTTCACGGATGGAGGACAGGCCGTTTTCAAGGTGGATCTCGCCCTAGCGACGCGGACACTCGTTTTCAAAGAGGCGCGGACATTCGTATGGTTGAAGCGCTGAAGTCCTAGGACTGGCGTTCTGAAACTATCAGGGATCGTCAAAACGCAATAGTCACGTTGACACGCGGTGATGGAATCCCAGAAATGATGTTCTGGCATAGCTTATGATTGCTTCGACGCAACAGCCACCTTGATTCGAGGAGTTGAAGTCCCAGGAGTTGTGATTTGACACGGCTGGCGATTCACAGATGTTTGTCTTCCAATGGGTTTACACTGGTCCACGTCCTCCTTCTTGTCATCCTCCTCCTCACCCTCCTCTTCTCCCAACTCTTCCCGCCCTCTCCCTCCTCCTCAATCCCCAGCCTCCATGACCTCCTCCTGCTCCTCCAGCTCCTCTTCCCTCTCCCCATCCCCCTCCTCCTTTTCCTCCTCCCCCACCTCCTCCTCCTACTCCTTTCCCACCTCCTCCTCCTCCTCCTCTTCCTCCTCCTCCGCTTCTCGTCCTCCTCCGCATCCGACGACGGCGACGACGACAACGACGACGACGACGACTCGCGGAACGAGGGCGCTCCTTCGTGGTGAGGTGCTGCAAGGTCGCCGCAACGCTGAGCACGCGGCTGTGGGGGACCTCCCCGCGCCGGGCGGCGGATGGCCCGGGGCCCGCCAGGGGGGCCGGCCAGGAAGAGGCCAGGCGTAGAGTCTGCGCGGCGGGGGTTATCCGTATCAACCGCCTGGGCCCCAACTGGCGGTGGATGCGGATACAGTCGGCCCGCATCATCAGGATGCGCGATAGGAATGCAAGGGCCCTGGACGGCCAGTTCGAAGCTTCTCGAGCGCGGCGCGGCCAGCAAAAGTGGCCAAGGATGGACCAGGGAGGCAAGGCTGCAAGGGTATCCTGGAGAAGGGCGATCATCCTGACTATGCGGGTCGACTGGATGGATGCACTTTTCGGCCCCAAAGAGCCGAGCATGTCCATATCCAACCTCCCGCCGAAGTCCCAGGGCGTCGATTCCCCAGGCGGTGGTGCTGGGTAAATCGCCGCATGGCGGATATTCGACATCAACTGTGGCAAGCGCAGCCCGCATACGGCAGGCTTGTGTCGTGCCGACTTCAACGGTGGTTGTTCGGCCACTGCGCGGATCGTTCAACATTGAACGATCGGCCTATTCCGACCCGTCAGATCGTACAGCAATGACCGATTCTGGGTCGCCAGCGGCGTTCAACGCTGACGCCGGCGGTGGGGTCGCCGCCGGACGACACGACGCGAGCCTACCGCACGCCAACAGAGGTGGGCGAGGCCCCCGCAGGTTGAGTGAGACAGTACCTCAACTGACTGCAAAGCGACCTTGAACGATGCAACCATAACCAACACGCTGGACTGACGGGAGACTCGGACAGAGCAGCGGCGGCCAATGCCTTGGGCACGAACCTGCACCACGACAGCTATAGGAGGGAGGAGTGAAAAGAGAGAGGGGAAAGAAGACGGGGAGGAGGAAGAGAGAAGGAGGAGGGAGGAGAGGGAAGGGAAGGGGGGAGGAGAAGAGGCAGGAGAAGACGAAAGAGCACCCTATAGCTCCCCGCCTCTCCCCGCTGCCGCCATCGCCTCCCTCGCCCACACCCTCCCTCCTCCCTCGCGCGCCGCGCGGCGTTATCGATAGGGCCTCCCCGAGCTGCGCTGGCCGAATCCTGAGCCGGCAGGAGGCCGTCGCTGCCACTGAGGGAGCCTCGGAATACACGCCTGGAAGGCCGACACAAAGATCCGGGCGTCGCAGGTTGTTGACACCGGGCGTGCTCGCCAGCATTCGGGCCCCGGGACCATCACAGATCGATATGGCGAAAAATGCAGCAGAGAGACGTGGCCAAGGGCTCGGGGCGTAAATTTGGACGATATGTCCATTTGTTCGCGACGTCGGATCTTAGGCAAGTAGCTTGGTGCATAGACGCCTCAGCTTCACAAGCTGAGGAAGCCAGAGCGCACAGCTGCTGAAATCAGGAACGCTAAACAAGGAACGAAGCCCCTTTATGGCGCCACACGGGCGTGCATGCACGAGGAGGGCTACAGGAATAGCCTTGGAAGGACCTAAGGAACCTCGAGCCCCTTCCGAACCCAAACTGTACCTCATTTCAGCGATCTGACTGTACACCGCAGTCACTCGCTGAATTCCTTGGCTCCTTGGCCGGCCAAGCGACGCAGAGTATTATGTCGAGCCCGTCCGAGCCACGTCCAGGTGCGCCACGAAGCATCCCAGTCGGATCGCGCTCCACTTGGAGCCCTCCCAATAGATGCTGGCCATCGCTCGGACGTCCATCACCTGTGCATGTTTCGGTTTCGTGTGTTTCCTTCCTCGATGATCAAAGATGCTCCTCGATGGCCCTCGCCGAGAAGAAATGCACGCGTCCGAGCGATGCCAAGGATGAGGTCAGAGCCGGTGGGGTCGGAGGATCGCGCCGCCTCGCCGATGCATCTTCGACGGCGGGGGAGAAAACCAAGCTCCGGATCGAGCCGCGTCGCCGAAGCCGTGGCGTGCACCTGCGTCGGCGGAGAGGAGAAGATCGAGCTCCATATCGCGCCGCATCGCCGATGCAGCAGCGATGCAATCCTCCGACCCCGTCCACTCTGGCCCCGTGTGGGAGGCCTGGAACGACGCGGCCACCCTGGACCCACCAGCCGACGTCGCGTGGCCCGCACCATGCCCGTTTTGGACCGCTGGCTCTGCCCATGTGGACAGCTGCCTGGCTTCAGGAGCTGTCGGGGCACCAATGACGCATGACGTTGCAAGCCTTTTCGAGATTAAGAACGGCTCGGGCCCCCTCTTGGGGCCCTCCTTGGGCCTCTCTTGGGGCCCTTGGAGGGCCTCTGGGGCCGTCTTAGGTCCCTCCAGGCCCAGTCTTGGCGCTCTCAACGGATCCAATCTGGCGGCGTCAAGAGCTCGTCGGGCGCGAAAAGGCGAGAGGGACATCTACTTTGCTTCCCCATGGATTGGGCATATTCGGGCCTCTCGGGGACAATCTTGGACCATCTTGGGGCCATCTTAGAAAGGGGATATGTCTGTCTTCCCGTATCTTGGCAAGTCATGTCTCGTCCCAAACGTGCGACGTCCTGGTTCTTTCAATACGCAGTCCCAGGAAATCCCGACCCTTTCCCAGGGGCTGGTTTTTCACACCGCGTCGTTGTTTGACGAAACCGGGGCACCGCGAGGGCCCCTGGAGGCCGAAAATGACAAGAAAAACAAACAAAAACCTTCCGTCGCGATCTGCTTCTACGACGCGATGATGTTTTGCACTGCCTGGGTCTAGTCACTGGTCGTCTTGGGCCGTCTCGGCGGCGACCTGGGCCGCGGCTGGAGTCAGCGCACGCAGGTCCCGCCGCGCCCAAAGACTGGAGGGGCCCGCCCGCCAGGCAATACGGCCAACGCGCAGAGTAAGGATGCGCGATAAGGATGCAATGGCCTTGGAAGGCCATGTCGACACTTTCAAGCGGGACGCGACCAGCGAAAGCGGCCAAGGATGGACCGAAGAGGGGAGGATGCAAGAGTACCCTTGGGATAATTGCCCATCCTTACTATGCGGGTGGACTGTAGGAAGAGGCTCCTCCCCCATTTCCCTCTCCAGTGGGGTCGGGGCCATGGCTTCGCGACGCGTTGGAGCGTTCGAGATGGCCCCAAGATGGCTCCAAGATGGCCTCGTACAGAGCTCAAGGTGACCTCGAAGATGGTTCCAAGAGGGCCGAGGATGGCTCTGGATGGTCCCAGCATGCCTCCGAGAGGCTCCAAGCCCTCTCTGCGACTACTCCGAATAGACACGGAGCCTTCCAAGGATCCCACGGGAAATCCAAATCATTCAACAAAGCAGAATTGACCCCCTATTGGAAGAAGAAATGCCCTTTCGCTTCCGATGTACTTCTGAGGCCTCAAGATGCCTCCAAGAGTCCCGACAGGAGCCCGGAAAGGCTTCAATACAGCGCCCAAGAGCACCCCAAGAAGGGGGTTCAAGAGGGCATGTTGCGAACTCCGACGCGAGTAGGTGAATGAATGCCGCCTTTGTCTATGAATGTCCTTCAAAATGGCCCCAAGAGGGCTTCCGGGTCCCCATGAGGGTCCCAAGAGAGCCCAGAGAGGGCCCGCGAAGGCTCCAAGGATCCAGAAATCGCCCCAAGAAGGCCCCCTGGCTGCTAGACACCTCCAAAAGGCTCCCAGAGCGAAAGATCCGCGAATGCCTTTCTGGTTGACCCTTGTCGTCATCTTAGACGTCGCCTGCGGGTTCACACCCAACCCTCATCCACCTCGCTCTGCATACTCCCTCTGATCCGATTCCTCCACCCTAGACATCATCAGAAATCGGGTGGAAGCGTGTTTTGTGAAAAACACTCGCCCGCTTCTGATCAACATCCATCACCACCACCATCTCCATCGCCATCACAATCATCATCACTACCACCGATCGTCGTAGTCGTCATCATCATCAGCTTCAGCATCACCATCATCATCACCAACATCATCATCACCACCATCATCGTCACCATTATCATTATCATCATCATCACCACCATCATCATCACCATCACCATCACCATCACCATCACCATCAGCATCAGCATCAGCATCATCATCATCATCATCATCATCATTATCACCATCACCATCATGGCCACACTACCACTATCATCCGAATCATCATCAACATCACAAACATCAGCATCATCAGCATCGTCATCATCACCCACATCCTCACCAGCATCATCACTATCATCACCATCAACATCATCTCACCACCACCACCATAATCGTTACCAGCATCTCATCTGCATCTTCATTGCAAAGTAATCACCATCACGCCCATCCTCAGCAGCATCGTCCTCATCCTCATCAGCATCTTCAGCATCCTCATCACCATCATCAACATCAGCATCACCATCATCCTTAGCATCAGCATGGTCCGTAGCATAATCACCATCAGCCTCATCATCATCATCATCCTCATCTCCATACCCATCCTCATCCTAATCCTCTTCATCATCATCACCATGATCACCATCATCATCAGCATCATCGTCATCAGCATGATCATCATCAGTATCATCATCATCATCATCAGCAGCAGCATCAACATCATCAGCATCATAATCCCCCTCATCATCATCACCTATCGTCATCATCCTGATCATCGTCCTCAGATTCTGCTACTCCCTCCTCCTCCTCCTCCTCCTCCTCCTCCTCCTCCTCCTCCTCCTCCTCCCCCCTACTTCTCCTCCCTCGGAATGTTCGCGAACGCACATCCGCCACAGTGCCGCGAGGCACCGAGTGGAAGCCCCCACGTCCCGCAGCCCTCTGCATACAGCACTCATTTTGAAGAAAAACTGACAGAGGCCCACAGCCCGCTCTCGCGTGCTTTCCTGGAGAAAAGAAAGCCCCAAAACGAACCAACAGGGCCGCGAGAGGCTCCCCAGAGGATCCAAGGTCCTTGGACGGCCCAGCAGCGCTCCAAAACACCCAAGCCGGTCTCAAGACAGCACGAGAGGCAAACAAAAACGCCCAAGAGCGCTCCAAGAGGGACCCAGGAGGCGAAGATCACTGATGTTTTCTGAATTCGGTAGTTGCAGGAGTTTAACCTTCTCGCCTTTTCTGCCTTCCAACGCCCCAAGACGGCCCAGCAGGCCCCAAAGATACCCCCAAGACGACCCAACAAGCCGCCAAGAGGGCCCCAAGAGGGCGCCAACTCGGCCAAAGAGGCCCCAAAGACTACCCAAGAGGGCCCCAAGAGGGTCCCAAAAGAGGGCCAAGACAGGAAGCACGACCTGACATGTCGAGCCCTCCGCTCCAAGATCGCCCCCAAGACAGCCAGTAGGCCCACAAGAGGCTCCCAAGCAGCCCCAGGAGGCGCCAACGAGGTTCAAAAGAGGCCCCAAGAGGCCCTCGTGAAGTCCCCGAGAGGCTCCCGAGAGGCCCCCAGACACCCCAAAAACGCCTCCAAGAAGCTTCGAAGAGGCCTCGCGAGAGATCCCCACAGGAATCCACGAGGCCCCTGAACTGCAATCAAGGCACGGTGACAGGGCGGGCCGAAGGCCACTCATGGTTCATTCGTGGGTGCATGATGCTGCACTTCCTTGATCAGGACAACTCGCCTGGGGATCATTTCTGGACGGGCTGATGGGGATACGCGCCGGCTCAAAAGGTTGCACACACGGTCGGACCTATGGCAGAAAAACATCCTTGAAGAACATGAGACCCTCCGCCGGCCAAACTGAAGAACATTCGAGGGTACCCCCCGCAAGATGCACAAAAACGTCCAACAAGCACGAAGAAGACTGGGGCACCCTCCCGAATCCGACCCGACCTCGACCTGATACCTCGGTCCTACTTATAATCGCCTGGGGAACTTGGAGTACCATGTGGGACCTGCTCTAGAACAGGAACACACCGCAGACGGAAATACCTTTCCTCCGACCTTGCACCGCGCCGAACGCAATGGCCACGTTGTCCATAGACGCACTCACCCCGAAAGTGTCCATGGACGTCACGGCACCCGATGTGCCCATAGGCGCTTTTGGCTAGGACGTGCGAGCGGTATTTGGCATCGGCACCAGATGCTAGTCTTCTACAAGCAGGTCGGCTCGGCCCTCCAGTGGAGAACCCACGTCCCTGGACCCAAGGAGGCAGTCGATCTGCACCTCTTCGGGACCGGCTGGCGGGGCCCAAAGGCATCCACATCCACCGCCCCCAGGGATCCTGGCACATCGGTCTCCCAGCCGGTATGAGTTCTGGCCTGGCGCCACTGAGCCAAACCTCATCGCGTTCGGAAAAAAATCACGACGGAACATTTCTCGCTACCTTCGGCCTCTGGGGGCCCTTGACGGGCCTCGGAACCGTTAAAAAACTACGCAGGCCGAAAAACCCTTCCCGGTTAAGGGGTCCAGACCTCTGGGGGTCGACTTCGCGAAAAAATCACGACGTCGGGGGTGTGGGGAAATTGACTGCACCTGCAGGAACTGTCGGCATGGAACCGAATCCAGCAATCGGATCGGGTCGGAATTTGCATCGGACCGGCTGCGGCAGCAATGCCCCATCCTCTCCCCCTCCCCCTACTCGGATTGTGGTCCTTCTCCCTGAGAGGGTAGGAGAAGAAACAAACATCCATCAAACGAAGCTGTCAGAGGTCTGCGCAGATTTCTCGGATAAGCGCTGGACCACTAGGCGGCCACTCCAAGAGAAATCAGCGGGGACCTCCGAAAGCTAATGTTCATGCCGATTTGCTCACTCAGGGAACTACATTGACCCGGAATCGGCGATACATCGCCGATGGGTCGGCGATAGGCCCCCGACGTCGAATCCGCATGTTCCTTGGCGGGGTAGGCCTATCGGGCCCCTAACGGCGATGAATAGGCGATTGGTGGAGCCTACAGTCGTCGTGCTACCGTAAGGAACGCTGAGTAAGGAGCCAAGGGGCTTTTCTTTGCCACGGCGAGCCTCGGCCACGACTGGGTCCCCCGAAACAGATCTGAGGAACGGCCCGAAAATCAAGGTCTTTTCCTGATCCCAAAGCGGTCCTTCTTTCAGCGTCCCGATTTGCCCCCCATGCCGTTGGCCCTGAGGGAAGGAGGTTGGAGGCGGCCGGGGGGGTTGCACTGGATGGGCCGAGAGAAAACTCGGGAAGAGGGGCGAGGACAAAGTCCTCTCAAAATCTGTCCCCAAACTCCTTCCGGGGGTCGAACTTGACCAGTTTCTCCAGCCACGTCCAGCCGTGGCGACGAGGGGGCCCCGTGATCCCACCGGACACTTGCTGGGCCACCTCGGCCGCCCAGCCAGCCCCAAGGATAGAGCAAGGGAAAACGCCATAAACATAAATGTTTGGCGCTCCGCTCGGATTCCCTGGATCTGCGCTGACCCCCCTCCGTGGCGCGCTCCGCTCGGCTGCTGCCCCCCGATAAAGAGGCATGCGCGTGCGGGCCGGCGGCCTGCAGGAACGCGGAGGAGGCGCCGCCGTGGTGCTTCGACAGCACCTCGGGCCACGCCGCCCGGAGGTTCGGCGCTGGCCCCCCGAGGGGTCGGCCAGTGCCACGCCAGCGCCACCCTGACTCCGGGGTTGCGAAAGGTGCCCCTGGCCCAAGGTGCCCCCAGGTTTTCGCTCCATCCTGGAGCCCCCGGGGCACCCTGGGCCTCGTGAGGGGGTGCTCCGGAGGCCGCGGGGGCTCCTTGGAAGCCCTGGGGGGCACCCTGGGCCGGGGGCATCTCTAGCACCACTCCAGTATCCAGTATCCAACAACAGCACCCCCACCCCCCGCGATCTCGGCGGCCTTCGAGGCGGGCGCTCGAGCGATGGGCCATGCACCCAAAAGCCCTCCCCTGGTCGCGGCACCCCTTCGGCAAGGCGGGCCTCACACCCGGTTGTGGCCGGAAGTGAGGGGGTGTTACGTGGGGTTCTGCATGTTTTGACGTGACAAGTCTGAAGGTGCAAAGCGGCGGCGCGCCGATGGGAAGAGGGAGCAGGCCTTCTCAGAATGCGGCGGGCCTCGGTGAGGGCTTCTTAGAAAGCTTCTCAGCCAGCTGGAGGCCTTCGGAGCCTTCTGAGGAGGAAGGCCCTCTCTGCTGTTCCCGCGCCGCCGAGGACAAGCAGTCAGCGCTGAGACTACGGCAGGGGCCCGACCACAAGAAACCTTCCACGAGAATCCCAACCCTGGTACCCCAGGACATCCATTGATTCTTGGTGTGGGAGCGTCACGCTTTCCATCGCAAAACCATCGAAACACAAGAAAACCAGGGCACCCTGGAGGCAAGCAAAGTGTTTCTTGGCATGGGTTTCCACTGTAGTTTCGCCGGTGAGGCTCTTCGGGTAGCAAGCGCGCAAGCGATCTGCCGTCAGCACGCGGCGCCCAGCGCAGTCGAAGCATGGCCACGGGAGCGCGGGGCAGGAGCACGGGCTCCCTCGCCGCAGACCCTGGACCCCGAGGTGGAACGCCCCAAGCACGAAGAACCCAAGGGTACCCCGCCAAAGCTGGGTGCTAGGAGAGCGCGGGCCCTGAGACCCTTGCGCTGCAATCTGTTCACAACAAGCGTGTTCGCCTCGTTTCGGGCGCAATGACCGTCACAACCTGATCTGGCTCGAAAAAAGTAATGCACAAAGATTGGGTCTGGGGCTCCGGTCGTGACTTGCGCTGCGGTGTTGCAACCTGTTTGCAACGTCGGATCTCAGGAGATGCTCCTAGGTCGTCCAAGCTTCGCGCATCTACAAGGCCCACGGGAGGCTCCAAATAGCCCCGCCAAGAGACCTCCAGAAGTGGCGCCCAGGCTCCCAGGAGGCTGGCCAAAGGGGTGATGCTCGTCGTCTCGCTTTCGGGTCAGCGCTCGGCCGCTCGGGACAATGCGGACACTCATCAAAAAGGCCCCCGACGAGGCTCAGCTGCTGCAGGAAAGCACCCCGAGGCCTGAAAACCGCCGAGAGGCTAGGAGAACGTCCGACAACCTCATCATACAGGATGGCCGGGCCATGCTGCTCGGGAGCCATCCAGGGGGGGAGGGGGGCTCTACGAGAACGTGGCTGGGCACACGCTGCGGCCTCAAGTCGCTGACCCACCCACTGCGCCCCTGACACGCACTCCCGGGCACGGCGGCGGGATGGTCGGGTACTTTTCGGCGGCGCGCCGAAGGGAACAGTGAGAAAGGGCAGGCCTTCTTAAAAGGCGGCGGAGCTCCTCGGAAGCCCTCTGGCCTTCTGGGAAGCCCTCTGATAGGGGGACGAACAATGACATATACAAACATAAAAACTCGTCGGATGTCCACGCGGATTTCTCGGATCGGCGCTGGACCCCTGTCATCGCCTCTGGCGACGCCCCTGGCGATCTCCGCGCGCCGGGGACGGGGGGGGTCCAGCGCCGATCCGAGAAATCCGCGCGGACCTCGGAGTTGTTATGCTCATGTCATTTTGCGTTCCCCTATCTGTGGCTTCGGAGGAAAGCTTAGAGAGCTTCTGAAAAGGCCGAAGGCCTTCTGAGCCTTCCGAGAAGGCCCGCCCCCGCTGCCTCCACCCCAGGGCGCGCCGCCGATCCATTTTGTTATCTCCCTCGCATAACATCACTGCCACTTGAAGTGAATTCACCCTCTGGTTTGTATTCGTCGCCAGAGGAGAAGCTGAAAGCGTGTGAGACATGACAAAATATACATCTTATGTGTAACTGCTCGTTGTCCTGTACCTGACTTCCCCAGGCGAGAGATGCAGGAAACTCAACTGTGCTTGAGCGAAGCATGTGCGAAGGACGAGCCTTGATCAATGAAATTCGCGTGACTACAAACAACATGTGTGCCGACAGACGCGGGTACAGCGGTGCAGGCAAATACCGGCATGTGATTGGGGAGACGGGGGGGAAACAGCGCGGTCCCGCTCACTAGACGGCCGAACGGCGGCGGGAGGACGACGCAACAAGCGGGGGGGGGAACCAGCGGAGGTGGGCAGAGCGGTGTCACCTTGGGGCAGGAGCTACAAAAGGCTCCCAGTTGAGAGCAGGAATCCTCTCGTGCTCTCTCGGGGCACGGCCTGTCGCAGCGATGTCGAGCACAGTGTTGCAAATGCCATTGGCGTCGGCATCGAACTCTCTGTGCATATATATATATATATATATATACAGATATATACATTTGCTGTATCTCAACACTGTCCACCCCACGCGTGGAACGTAGACGCCACACAAGCCCGAACGTCCGCACAAACAATGGCTGCAAGTCTGGGGACAAACATCTCCATGTCAAGTTAAGCTGCCAGACAACCAACAAGTTAAGCCGATCCTGGAGCCTGAGCCCGTTTCGGCAATTTTGTTCTCGAATCTTCTCTAACATGTGTGCACTGCATGAGGGGCGAACACCGCGGGAATCTGGCTGCGTGTAGCGCCAGGCGTGCCCCTCTTCAACTACTGCGCGAGGGTTGTGAGCATGGCACTTGGGCACCTCATGGGGGAGCCGCCATGGGCCAGGGGGTGCATCACGGGCCCTTTTGCGTCCCGATTGTGTGGATGTCTCGACCAAGACGATCGCTTGGAGTTGCGGGCTACTCCCATTTGCCACTTCGTGATCACCGCGGTGTTGCAGGCATAGCATTTAGGAATCCCAAGGTGGCGCCGCCAGTGGTATATCACAGTCCCGTTCGTGGCCAAACTGCGGGGAAGTCTCGGGCGAGGCGTTCCTGGTGTGTGCAAAGAAATGATCAAAGGTGAAGGGGTGAGATCGCAGTGAAACGGCGAGCCCCCCACCGGGAAATCGGTTTCGGTTTCATGTTCGTGTCGTGCGCAGGGGCCAGGCGAAGCTGCGTGGGCAGAGCCAGGAATGAGCCCTCACTTGCTAGGGCGCCACCAAGCCAAAAGACCGCGAGAGGGGCGGCGATGGAGGCGCCGCCAGGGGCCCCAACGCCAAATCAAGAAATCCGCGCGAGATGCAGAACGTTTATGAATATGCCGTTGTCTGTCTTTCGAAAAGGCGAAGAGTGAAGCGTGCGCGCGGCGCCGCGGCGATAATGCGAGGACCCAGCTGCACAGGAGGGTTGGGGAAATAGTGTCCTCGGGTATCGAGCTTTCGCTCGGCAGGTCTGGGCACCATTGGAAAACAAAGAGTACCCAATGCTCGAATTATCTGGCACCGGATCCCTTCTTCTCGGCACGCCGACATGCACAAAATAGGACATACTTTCTCTAAGATGTCAACGTACTGGCCCTGGCCTTCTTCTATCGTCGGGTTCATGATATAACAAATCGCGGTCAAAAACAAGGCGTCCAGCGTTGCGGGAAAACTGAACAAAAGAGGGTCCAGCTGAAGAAAGCTGGTCAGATTCCAGTTCCGAGCCCTTATCCTCTTCAGCCCGCTCCAAATCCCAACTGGTCACCAATCACAATCCCGCCGTGAACATCTTGCGCAAACATGTGGCATGATTGGACCTCGGAAATCTAGCAGTGTCCATCACTGGTTCAAACAGACAATGCATCAAACAATAACAAATCTCTGCGGCAACGACAAAATCTAAGGGTTGTCGCAAAGAAGACTTACACACGCGGCAACAACATACTGCCTGAGGGACACACCGTGACTGCAGCCTTCAACGCGGAAATTGCCTCGAGCATTTCTTTCTCTTCAGCGTTGAACTCTGCCAACTCCTTCTCACGAATCGCCGTCGCCTCAGCACGCGATGGGGATGTACGCAGACACGCGGGCAAGCGCAATCATGATAACACGTTCGCGCGCGCAGGAACACGTCTGCAACCGCACCGAAAAAAACTGAGTGGAATGCGATGAAGCCCCGTATGGGGCCCTGGATATTGGCACGTTGTGCTATCACGCACATAATTACGCATACATATGTGGAATTATATGCGGGAATGAGAGAAGGAGAAACAGGAAACACAGAGAGAGAGAGAGAGAGGGAGAGAGGGATACAGACAGAAGGACCACGATGTGTACAGACCTCTATACATATGCACACGCATACGTGCACACGTATACTTACGATCCTTAAACATATGAGCCTCCACTGTTCAAGATCTCTGGGCGCCCCCAGGCGTTCTCCGGCTTCTCCGCGGATTCCCTCGCGAACTTCCCCGGGGCCTCGGTTGCGGGGCTGCATATCCACATGTTCACAATGCAGCTATGCGAAAAGCATCGGGATCAGCCCTGGGGTCCAAGATCGCCCCAAGGTCGGCCGTTTCGTCTGATCATGATTTGGCATCGTCGCATCTCCCGTCGTGGTCCGAAAGGCAAAACTGGGTGACATTTGGTTTGTTGCCCGCCCATCACGAAAAGGTTCGAATATTGAACACCTCTGTCACGGAAGGGGCCGTTCTGCGGGGCCCGCTGCCGCCTGCCGCGGGAGGTCCTTCTACGACTGGAGATGATAGGAGGGAAAGGAAATACGATGGCGGGATGGGGATCGGGGAGGGGGGTGAGGACGAACGCGACACAGGAGGGAGAGGGGGGCGACGACAACGCCGATAAAGCAAGTCTCACTATTTCCCGCCCTGCTCGGGCAGCGATGGCCGAGCGCAGAGGCGCCGCGACCCGGCGCCGCTCGCGACGCAGCGCCGCGGTCCCCCCCCGCGGCGAAGTGCCGCTCCACCGACGGGGCCATCCCCGCGCCGCTGCGGGGGGGCGGCCCCTGCGCCGCGGCTCACGCATGTTCCCTCCGCAGGTTGTCCGCGTCGTCCTAGGCCCGCGTCCGCGCGGTCGCGGGCGCCTGCGCAGTCGCGGGCCCGCGGCGCCGCCGGCCGCTCGCCCGGTCACCGACGCGCGCGCCCAAAGAACGCCGTCGCGACTTCGCACCAGGCGGCGTGGACCCTTCGGTCCGAACACCGAGGAAGCGGCGACGCGCGGCCGTGGCAACTGGCTCTCCCCGCCCCGCCAAACGCCCCACCGGCCCAACGATTGGCCGCGCCACTCCTCCGCGCCAATGCTATTGCAGCAAATGTGCTGGTTGCTGCTTTGGCATCTGTGACGCCAGCTGCTGCGGGGGCTCTCGCGGACGCCCCTGCGGCGCTTCCTGCGGCTGCTGTTCTGGCCGCCCTGGCCCTCGCTGCTGCGGGCGCACTAAGGACCGCCGTGGCCACAACACCTGCGACTGCCCCAGCGGCAATGGCCTCGGAGACGGCCGCTGCGCCGTCTGCCACCACCTCGGGGGCGAAATTCGCACATGCATGTCTCGCCCAATTTCTCGCCACCACCCCCTCCCCGATGAGCGCGTTTCCATCCCAACGTCCGTTTCCAGATGTCGCACCTCGCCCCGCTCGCCCCGCGCGTCGCCCCATCCCCTCCCATTAATCCCCCGCCCCCCCCGCCGCGGCCTTCCATGGCCAGCCGCGGGCCAGACGCACTCCTCGTCCTCGGCTGCGACTGCCCGCCCGGGTTGCCGCGACGCCCGTCGGGCGCGAGCGCCTTGCTCGACCCCCTCGCCACGCTGCTCTGGCGCCCGGTGCTCGGGCCTGCGCTGCTCGGGGGAGCGCGGTTGCCCGTGCCCCCCGGGTGCGCCCGCCCTTCTGCCCTCTCTGCCTCGCGCGCTCCTAGTCGGCCGAACGCGCGCTGGCCACGCGCATCTGGAACGGCTGAGAGGTAGCGGGCACCGCGCAAGCGCCCGCACCCACCTCCGCGATCTCCACCTCGAGCGGCTTCTGCGTCGCGCGGAAGAGATGCACTTCGCGGGCGCCGGAGAAACGGCGGCCCCCTCTTGCTTCAGCCCTGGCGCGCCCCCGGATTCCGCGCTCTTTCGCAAGCATCTGGCGCATGAGCGCATCTGACTAAGCCAGCAAATCCTGGAGACGATCGCGGGCCACTTTTTCTTGGCCATTGCGCCCGCCGGTGGCGCCAGGACCCCGCCCTGCTGGTGGCGCCAGCGCGTCGGCCACGCCGCCGGGCTCGCGGAACCCCCCGCAGCCGCGGGGGCCTCCGCCCTGCCTGCGTTCCGGTACCCAGCGTCGCCGATCACCGAATGGCCTCTGAAGAGCAACCCCGCCTCGCCCTTGTCGCGCAGGGCGCTCAGCGGCCAGGGCGGGCGGCGCTTGCCAGGCTGGCTGAGAACGAAAACGCCGCCGCCGCCCGATCGCGGGGCGCCGTCCAACCCGCGCCAAAAGTACACTGCTGTCTCCACGTCGCGAGCTTCGACCCCGCAGACGAGGGGTCGTTTGGGGGGGCGCCATGTTACATTCCCTTACACGGGCGTCAAAGCTGCTCCTCTGCAAAATGGCCGCCAGCCTCGGCCACCGCTCCCAGGTTGCTTCCTAAAAGCCTTGGCTGGCTCTCGCCGCGTCGCGGCAGAGGCGCGCCGCGCGCGCCCGCGATTTCGGACCGAAGTGGGCGCGGGTTTGATCGTCGGGAACTTCAACCACCATGACCCTCGAGAACGATCCCATCTCGTTGCCTCAGGTGCCGTCCACGCACCTATCCCCGCAACGCAGCTGCACCCGGCGGCGCGGGCTTGCGCGCGCACCGATGAACGGGGACTTGCCCCCCTGCCCGCGCAGGGTCAAGCATTCGCACCCTTGGCGGCTCAGGAGATATCGACAATAGCAGGCGTTCGCAGCGCGACCCCCTGCCGCTGTCGCCCTCGCTGCTGCGAGTGCGACAGCAGGGCTACCGCTGCCGCCGCCGTGGCCCACCCCGCTGCTGACGCCCCCACCGCTGCCAGGGCGCCCGCCCCCGGCGGCGGTGGCCCCCCCGGCCCCTGCAGGATCGCCCCATCTTCTCCTCGTATTCCGCAAGGCGCACAATCGAGGCATGGCAGCCGCGCAGCTGCCACTCCCCCCTCATCCGCTGGACCGCGCTGCGTTCCACGCTGGGCGCGGGGCCCCATTTCCCGCGCGTGGAAAAGGATCGCCCGCGCTGCCAGTCCGCTTAGCGCCCGCCTCGGGCGCCCTACGCTCGCTGAAGAGCCGCAGCGGGGCGGCGCGGCGGACAGCCGACTGGAGTCGCTGGACGTCGCCAGGCGGCGCGGCGCCCCCGCGGGGCTGCCGCGCGCGCCTCTCTTCCTGGGACCCCCCCTTTCGGTCGGATTCACCGGCGAGTTGCCTGGGCGAGCGTGCTTCGAGGAGAACGCCGATCGCGCCCCGTCGTCTGAGGCCGCCGCCACTGCTGAACCTGGAACGCCAGCAGGCGCAGCCCTCGGCGCCGCGGGGGCGCCGACCGCCGCTGCGACCCACGTGCCCCGACCAGGTTCCGGGCAAGTCGCCCAGCTTTTCTTCGGATTTTGCGCTGCGGGGCACGATTTGGCTTTCGTCGGCGCGTCGGCGGCCATCGCGCGCCGCGCCCGCCCGGTCAACCGGGCGCCCCCGCGACCCGGGCTCT